AATTAACCTCGTTGTTAATTTAGTGTAAAAAGACGTTCAAAAATTTCCAATATACGCAACAATAGTTGGATTAATACGAATGACTCTGGGAGTTGAACCGAAATGAGGAGGAATTAGATCCAGATTAGTTAAATTACCTGAATATCCGTTTTTTGGAAAGTGGAATAAAGGCCCTTTGTCTTGTATGAGAACCGTTTGCTAATAGTGCACCGTTTTCGATGCTCTCAACTGTGTGCCTTTCATAAGGTTTTCAGAAACCGAGTGGATGATGCAGGTAGATGACCGCTGATACCTTATATGGTTTCCGGTATGGAAATTACTTCAAATTTTGCTGCTGAGTTAAAAAGAGAGTTCCGGGATAAAATCTTGCTGTTAGTCTTTGCCTGTCGTAACCATTACTTTGGGACCGGCTTCCTCGATTTCACTGTTTGCTCTGAGGATGGTCGATATAGTCTGGCTGAAATATCAGCGGTCGTAAGTTATAATAAATCCGACATCTATCTATTTTCTTTTTGCTAGAACCAGGCTATTAAATCTAGCTAAGGGACTTCTGTTTGACTCTTCACCCACGTTGGTTTGAAAGGTATCTCTTTGCCCTTTTATAATAATCATGCTCCTAGAAAACGAAACGTAAAACTGGCTCTCTAAACAAAACCATGATGATGTCTTGATCGGTTAACTTTAATGGTCAGTCAGTTATATTTTGTCTGCTGTAAATCATTGGCCAGTCCTAGATTCAATATTTTCATTGCAGCAGCAGCTATGTAAGGAATATGTCTCTGTGCTGTTCTCATATTAGGCAAAATTTTGATTTGTTAGGCGAATTTGCGACCTATTGAAAACGTCGCTTATTTCCTATCCTCCCTTGTTATAAGTCCATAGCCGCTATTTTTGTTTTGTTCTACTTTTCTTTTGCTACTTCTTTTTTTGCTTTCTATTTCTCATTTGCTTCGTCTCCTTATCTCTTGTTTTCCCTCTAACTCTCTTTACTTATCTTCGTCACTTTCTTCCTCTCCTTCTCTGTGGCGTATTGGCGCAGCTGTCTTAGAGATCTGCTTCAAAGCCCAGAAGTGCGTGGTTTGGTTCTGCCTGACGGCAATCTTTGTGTTATTCACGAATTCCCTTCAGCAAGGAATAAACACGCATTTTTTCAGAGGGGGTTGCTCAGCCGGTAAGGTACCGAATTCAGAAGCGATAGTTCCTGAGCTTAAGTGTCGGTCAGAGTTCACTCGACATTCTTCCTTCTGAGGTTGAAAAATGGGTTCCATTCTGCAGGAAGGAAACAGGGCACCGCATGCCACACAGCTGCAGACTCTGCCCAAAAAATAAGGCCCTCCTGGCTGATGGCAAAGAAATGGAGATCAGCAACGCACCATCAACTTCATGAAAAGAAGGGTGTCAAAATGAAGATTAAGGAAGACCGACATTCCGAAGCTGACCGTGTTTCCAAGAACTTTCGTCGTACTTTGCTTTAGTTTCCTTTCTCTTTCTCTTTCTTTCTCTCTGCCTGGTTTTCTTCTCCCTTTGTGCCTGTTAAGTCTATTTTATTCCACTTCTCATTCCTCTTTCTGCTTATACCCTTTCTACTTTCCCCTTCCTTACCCTTCTTCCTCCCTTCCTCCTTCTCTTTCTTTTGCCTGTTGTTTGTTTTTCTTCTTCCTACTTCTTTTCCTCATCCAACGATATTCGTTTAATATGAGTCTGCTCCTGAGAGTTCACTTCCTTTACAATGTTCGGTTTTTTGCAAGGTTTTCGATCATCCATTGCAGCTATCTTTCACTGCAAAGTAGCGCAACATATGCGTAATGTTGCTCTCTCTCTCTCTCTTCCCTCGTGTTATAAGCGTTTCCAAAGCAGTGAGTAAGTGACCGTAAGGAAATGGTCTTAAGTCCGCTTTGCTGCACCGATGGATCCTTCTTTCAATCAACTTACTAGTTCTTTGGATAAACCATCGGGTAAGCGTACGAAGGTATTACGGGTTTGTCCTCTGTGCTGACCACACATAATTATTTGAATATTTGGATTTTTATGAAATACACGTTGCTTTCGCTCGTTCTATCGTCAGTGCTGCCATCACTCAACTCCGTAGAGCACTACGGCAATATGACATCATGTTTCATAGGGAATTTTTCTCTTTGTCCTCGGTAAGATATACTGTTTCCTTTATTTGATCATGTTTAACACTTCCGGAAACGCAGCATTCGTCCGTCATTGATTTTCAAACAGCATGTATCATAACTCGGAATGTCGTACATGTTGCCGTTTCTTGTACACCCACAACTTCGATTTGTCATCAGCTAGGTGGTTATAAGCATGCATTAATTTTTCGCTTTCGTCAACATTTTAAAATAACAAATAATAATTTCGCCAGTTTTTATCGATCGTTTACGTAGGTGGCAAAGTTTAGTTCGAATCAAAAGTGACTAAAGGTACTTAGTCACGTATTACGGACGGCGAATCACGGTAGTGCAAT